TAGCGAAGACGACGGCGGCAGCAACGAAAACGGCGGCGGCGGCATGAACGAAGTCGCCGTCGTAGTCGGCGGCAGCGGAGACGAAAGCGGCGGCGGCGGCGGCGGCAGGTCTTGCCGTGGAGATGCTAAATCTTCAGCAACGTGCTGAAGATTCAGCATCTCCACATCTTGGACAGCATTTAACAATTCTTGCTCTGGTCTGAAATGGAATAAATAATTAATATCACCAGTAATTGATAAAACAACTCGAAAAATATATATTTCTTATACTTACTTATCACTCATCGTGTCCACCGGATCCATCCTACTATATTTGATTGCGATGTAACATAAATCAATCAATGCGAGACGCGCCACGCGACGCGCCACGCGACACACGCACCGTGCGATATCCAATAAGCGAACAGCTTTTATGTAATGGCTCCTGCCCATTGGACACGGTAATTAGCCAATCAACGTGTCGTACGCTCGGATGTGGATTGGACTGTGATCTTCTTTCATGACATCTTTAATCAGTGATCGTTGTCAATGTAACAAGTTGATTACTGTTATTGTGTTTTCATAAGTGGCCGTTTCCATTTCGTTGTAATATATATTTTGTGATACGGAAAACATTTAAATAGTTATTGTGGTAAGTCATATATTATACGATCTTATCTCACGCCAAGTATAAGCGTAGCCAGTGCCGGTTTTAGCAATATTAGCGCTCTGGGCCAGATTATCGTGACGCCCATTCAGATAAACCATTCAAACTCGATGTCCACGTGTACCAGGTCGCCGATGACGACGTCCAGACAGTGCGCCCTGTAGTTTTTCGTGTCTAGGTGTATTAATACCTTGAACTCGATGTCCACGTGTACCATACCAGGTCGCCGCTGACGACGTCCAGACAGTGCGCCCCGTAGTTTTCCGTGTCTAGATGTATTAATACCTTGAACTCGATGTCCACGTGTACCAGGTCGCTGATGACGACGTCCAGACAGTACGCCCCGTAGTTTTCCGTGTCTAGGTGTATTAATACCTTGAACTCGATGTCCACGTGTCCCAGGTCGGCAATGACGACGTCCACATA